CATTTGGACAGTTCTCCTCTAGAGGATTTGCTTTAGCCAACCAGCCAAACCAGAGTCAAAAGCAGACACAGAAAGAACCTTTAAAAGCAGTGAGGCACCAGCAAACGTGACTCGTACAACCCCAGTGTCTGCCTCCCAGCTCCCCTGTGCCCACATTTAAATCTGCCACAGAACTCCAGGGAAATCTGGCAGAGTAGGATACCTAGATTCATTTATCTGAAATCAAAATCTTTGGTTAGAGTACCTTTTTTTTTTTCTCTCTCTCTCCTTTCTTCTTTTCTGTTCATCTCCTACAACTACAGAGATGCTATAGCAGGGTCAAAAGTGTCACCTGTCCCTTCCGGCCTGCCAGCCGGCCACTTGGCACACAAGCACCTGGCACGAGCAGCCGGAGCCCTTCCCAGACAGGAGACACTGGTGGATCAAGGGGACATGACAAGGATGGGGGTATGGCCAGGAACTGAGGGCACCTGGCGGAGGGAGGAGCAGGAATATCTGGGATCAGGAGTACAGGACAGAAATCCAAACGCAGTAAAGTTTCGTTACATCAACATCTCATAAATCAAGCTTACTCTAAAAGCTTGCAGTACTGAATAGGGAGAGGTGTAAAAAATGTAAAACAAGAAGTTGCTGGCAATATTATTTGAAAAATATTCGTGTTTTAAGAGTGGCTGAAACTCCATATTCTTCTGCATTTTTAGATTGCTGAGGCACTAGTAACTATAAAATACATAACAGCAACAAGACAGTATGAAAACTTTTATCTATTCTGCAAAAATAATATTTTTCTTTCTTGTTTTATCTACTATAGGCCATGTTTTTCAAACAGACTACTTCTGGCATCTCTAGTTGCAAGATGGAATTAAAAAACTCTCCCAAACCAAGTGCAAGTGGGTCACCCAGCAACAGCTGCACAGCGGGCAGGGAGAGCAGACTGAGGGCACGATGAATTCCTTAGCTGCAGAGATGCACTTGCAATGCACAGAAAACCACACAAGCAGCTGAAGTGCCCGTTCCAAAAGAAAATGGTACTGTCAACTTTAATCAAGAACCAAATCCCTGATGCAATGAAACCACTTCAATACCTGATTCAGGTGGTCCATTTTTTAAACATGAATGATGCAACATGGTGTAAATTTGTACCTTTTGTAAAATATAATAAAAAACAATGCTCTATCTACTAAACTACAATGTGAAACAGCATCCAACATTGGAAATATTAAGGTCAAGAAAGAAGCAAAGAATTATTTTGTAACTTTTCTTAACATTAATTTTCTATTCAACTTGCAACTCACAATCATTGCTGTGATTTAAAGTTCACCATAAGAAGCTACAGTTCTGTTTCATTTTTGTTTTTCAAAAGAAAAATCACACAAGTGTATTATATTATTTAAGCACATCCCAAGCTGAAAAACAATGATGTGGTTTTTCCTAACCTCATCCTTTCTCTTAAAGAAAGTTGGGAACAGTATTAAACTACAGGTTTATGTAAATCAGAAGTAAATTTTAAAATAAAATTAAGAGACTATTAGCACCAGTTTAAAACCAAGCTTTGTAAGAAGGAGTGTTCAGTTAGGCATTTACTAGTCCTGCCAGCATCTCTTATCATTCCAGCAGAGTATCATACCTCTAAACTAAGACCTTCCTGATGCAACTGTGAACTGCTCTCAGAGAAGTGCTGGATTTCTGTACTATACTCGAAGAAAAACAATTATTATGAATATAAAATTTACCTTTATTTCTAACACAAGATTTTATATTCTTCCAACAACTGTATGAAACAAAATGTTTTTGAAGTCAATATTTATCATATATAAAGAAAGCAGAGGACCTAAGATGCTGGTTGTTTTTGGCAGAAGAAATAATACAGAAAGCCAGAAAGGAGTTTATATATTTTACATTTGTTGTAAACCTTCTGAAAATTAACTAGTACTTGTAAGAATATATTTATGTCAACTTTTGAATAGATGGCAGGTGTCATGTCTTAGTATCAGATTTCTTGATTTCAAAGAGTTTGTCTTTTTACTTTCCTTACATCACTAGAAGTTAATGTACACAGTATAACAGAGAGAAAAAAAAAAAAAGAAAAAACAGCAATGGGCATAATTCTGCTAGCTCCATATAAACACTTTTCAAAAATATGAAGGCTTGTAAAACCAGGATCTTCATCCAGAACTATGTATTAAACAGAATTAAGATCTACATTTCACTCTGAGAAGGTCAAGTTATATGTGCAGTCTCTCTGATAATCTTATCATCGAAATGTGTTAAAGTAGAAGGTTTGTCATCCCATTTATACTGTTGAGATTTTCGTATGCCATCTTCTGACTGTTGTCAGAACAAAAATAATCCTTGATTCAAGTCAAGATTTTAGGACAACAGTATTATTAAGCACAGCATCTGAATACGCAGGTTTGTATGAGACCTTAATTAGACTGGAGATATATATATTATCAGTCTTATGCCATACAGGGAATGTCATCCTATCAATCATCTCATTAAAGCATGCTTCCCTATATTCCATAAAGGAGTCATATAGCAACAATTGGGAATATGCAAAACAATTTTAATGTAAAGGTTAAATGAAATGAAAATAATAGTTCTGGAGAATTAAAAATAGAATTTAATTAGAAACAGTTTTTCTAATCTCACCTGCAGGAAAGCAGCTGTTAAAGTCATTCACATAAGTTTGTATAGAACCTTATTTTCCAGGTTTGATTTAAGTGAAATGCCAGCACTTAATTAGTCAACATTTATTTAGAAAACTACTCGAATACAGCTCTCTAATTAAGCCATGATTTAGTTTGCTGCTAACTCTTCAAATCTAGCTGATTTAAAATACAATTATTTAGATGCTGCAAAGGAGAAGAATTACAGCTTTTTAGTCAAATAATTTTAGAAAATTGTAGAGTATATTTTCAGGCTTGGACTATACTGTTAACCTAGCAAAGGTTTAATAAGCTGCTAACTCTTCATAATCACCACTTACTTACGTTTCAAAGTAAATTACTATTTGCTTTTTCTTTGTATTGGCAGAATTTCTGATAGTCCAATGGCTTCCTGAAATGTCCATGAGACAGGTTATACAGAGGCAGAAAAGGCAATTTTTCAAAACAACCTCTCATCTAGCAACTACGAAATGTAAGGACTGATCTTTTAAATGGCTT